TCTCACTGAAGATGCACTGATGGAGAACATACCTTGGAAAGTTCCAGTGGCAACTACTTCATGTGCCACTTTTGGAGGACCATTTCTGCTTGCTGCTCCACACTCCTCTGCCCACAACCCCTGGCCTCCAACTTGGGGCACATTCAAAAAGCACCAGCTACACAGGGCCGTGTTTTTGAGTCATGTATATGAATATGCACAACCAAAAACGCTGTTTCAGTGTCAAAGAACAACAGGACCTCTAGGAACAACCAGCAATTAAGCAGGACAGCACAGTGCACCTCAAAGGACAAGCCTGACATCTGAATTCTGCTGACATGATATTGGAAGCAATATTAAGTTTGTTTGTTTTTTAATCAGAAATACCAAGGCTTCCATTGACATTGAAGTGTTTTTTGCAAGGTCTGAAGGGGGAAGGTTTCTGACATCCAGAAGGGATTTCTGATTAAAACCACCCGCAGACACCTCCTTGGTGCAGCCAACAGCCTTTGCATCAGGTTTCCCAGTACAGAATAAGAGCGCAATGGCCTGAACCTGGCTAATCCCTACGCCAGGTCTTGGCTCTAAACATCCAGGGCTCACAAACAGCCCAGCAACTCTTCTGCACCTCCCTTTGGAACTAAAGGGGGAAAACGTGGCACAGGAGGAACCGTGCCACTGTCAAAGGGCCACCCCAACAATGTGCTCAAGAGGAGCCTCAATTATTTCCATATGGTTCACTGCCCTATATTGAGCGCAAGCTGCTCATACCAAAACCCAGAAACATGGTTTTTGAAAGCAATTTCTGCCCATTTTGTTAATTCCTGGAATCTTCAAGTTCGTATTAAAAACTCCAGAGCCCGTTTACCCATACGGTTTTCTTGGAAAGATTTAGTCATGCAGTATCTCTTTTCCTAGCCTGCACATTTTCAGATGGGGAGGTGTAAAAATAAGATAAGAAGCAAGTAGCATGCACGGGCCCATTTAACAACAAAAGCTTCTAAAACATGGTTAGAATATAGGGTATTTTGACAACTCGGCAATCACTAAAGAAAGCCAAAGTTAAGGTACCTCTGAAGTTCTCAAATTAAGCTATGTAAGCAAACAGTTAGGACACAAACAGTTTCACACTCAGCCCTGCAGTATTCATTAGGCACCAATTATATGAGCAGGATTTCAAGTTAGGAAAGTTTTAAACAGCATCTACCCTCTCCAATTTATAGTGACATTGTAGGTGAAAGACAAAACTACTAGTCATCTGGCAAAAGGAACAGGTAGACTTTACTCTGAGTTTTTAATAGCTATTTATCTCTTAACAGCTACGTTATCAAATTTATGAAAGAAGTTTCCAATGTAAATACTAAGCAAAGCACACAGAAGAAAGCGTGCTAGCTGCTTTATGATATTCAAGAAACACAAAGCCCAACAGACATTTAAAAAGTCTACTGGAAATAAGGCAAACCAAGACAAATTTGAGGAGGCTTTCAAGTAAGCAGCAGCCAAAAAAGCCATCTTAATACAAAATTACAGCCTCAAGCCTCACTAGAAATCCTTTAAGAAAAAATATCTTTGAGTGCAGCTGCTCAAGGGAGGACAAAATTGTATAAGAAAAAGCAAGAAGAGATAATGCCTATTCTTTAAGGATGACTTTGTTACTAAGTCAAACTACTATAGATCATTTGCTAGCTTTGCAGAACCAAAAAGGTTTTTAACCTACACCTGATAAAACAGACTTGCTTTGTAGAGTAATCACTGTATAAATCCATGAAAAAAGGGGCATCTCGGGCAAGCAGTCACTAAAACATTAAAAAAGGATGAAAATACCAAGAGAGGTCTCTGAAGCAGAACTCTCCAAATTCAGAGCTATGGTCACATTTCTCTTACAGCCAGTTAATCCAGGCTACCTTGCGCAGCCTTTACAACAGGAGCGGTGCCACGATTCCCTAGATCCATGAGCAAAACAACTTTTCCACTGTGCCAGCCAATAAAGGAAGGTGCCTTCTGTTAACACCCAAACCAAATGCTCCACACGTTACATTCTCACTAGGAAGGCCTGCTGGTAAAGTCCTGGCAGCTTTCAAGCTCTCTAACCTGAAGCTGGTGCTTTTGGAAGAAAAAAGTCCACGTCATTGTGAACTAATAAGTAGGAGGGTAAACTTGTGGGACACATCTACTTTACTGTACATTTATGTCAGCCATTCCTCAACAAAAAACACAGCTAAAAGATGTGAAATAGCAATTCAAAATATGGAAAAAAAACCAGTCTGTGGGAATCTAGATATTCTTTGCTTACCAGCAGAACACAGTAACTGCTATGTGCTTCTCTAAACCCTTCTCAGCCCAAAGCAAGCAGGCACCGTGCGACCTAGCAGGGAGGATGCAGCACCAAGCCAAAGGAAGGCCCAGCCACACAAAGGAAGACACTGGTCTATTCTTAGGGGGATGTATGATTAACACTATTACCTAACAGCAGAAGTATAAAATAATTGTTCAAGTCAGGCCAATTTGAGTTAAACTCATGGTTTAAAATCAAGAACACAAAGGAAACCATTTTCATCATCCTGTAGCTACTACTACTAGAAAAATTCACAACTCTGACTCGAGTTGAGACTAGTGTGATACAGCTGTCACCCCACTCCACATGCATCTCAAATTTAGCAGCTTTTATGGAGATTCTCACAATTATTAGAGCAGGCATTTATACCTACTAAACTGAAAAGTTACTCTACTACAAATAAGCAAACTATTTCCTATGATAGATGCAGAATGAATCAGAACCCTTCCCTAGAACATCTTTGAGGAAAGTTCAAGACCTACATGAACTTCTGAACTTCAAGGTCTTCCTGTTTCCCCTCATGCCAACAGACACGGGCTGTGCTCACAAGGCACTCGGCTCCTGGGCAGCCAGCTCCATCTGACCATCATGAGATACTGCTGCAGCTGGCTTGGCACCACCTGAGCACATGACAAGGTCGCAGGGTACAACAAACAGTCATGACCAAACACCAGGGAAAAGAAAACCACGTTCTTCAAAATTGGCCCCTTGGTCTCGCTCTGAATAGAAAACATCAGATAACAAATCTAGCCTAGGGCTCAGTCTAACTTTTAGTACAAGCAAGCAGTTGTTTGAGGGCAAAGAGGAATAAAGTGACTGTGTCTATCAGACTGTCACTATCAACTACGGACTCGCAATAGATATAACAGTTGCTCATATTATAGTGCTAGAAGTTCTTTGGGATGCTGTAACTGGTGATCATCCCACTGTAAGCTTTTTTTTTTCTTATTATTTTAATTAAAAAGTATCTACCTCAGCCATAGAAATGTCCTTTTCTTCCTTTGCCTACCTATGAGGTACAAGAGTAAGCAAGCCATAACGCTCCCCGGCTTTCCCACAAGAACAGTGTAGCCAAAGAGCACCCAAAAGCAAAATTCCACATCAGGCATGTCTGGAGAGCTGGGTCTATTTAAAGTAGCAGTAAAAAAGCGCTTCAGCTACACTACTGAAATACCTGGCTCTGCTTTGGATTTCTGCTGCAACTTTGGCAAAACACTGCTTAGAATAGAGTGGATGAAGCTGCTCTCAGGGCAGGGAAGAGCGACCAAAACAGGGGCTTGAAATTTCGCAAGAGGTGAGACCCCTCGTAACTACAAGATGCACAAAGCAACGTATTTTGAGATTTTCCAAGGGGACACCCTGGCTTCCCCAGCACCATCTGAAAACTAAACAGTCAACGGCTCAAGTGGTTTAGTGTCAATATCACCCCATAAACTGAGATACAGTACCTAATGTGAGGGAGTAACTTGTGTGGCTGCGACCACAGTTACTACTGTTAATATTCTGATTTTGCCAGGGATGTACTTACCTGGAACCCAGCACAGACAAGCAAGTGTCTGAAAAATATTGTTCCCTTAAATAGTTTTAGGGCCTTATAGACACTTAAAGAAAACAAAACACACAGTTTTATGTTCACTGTAACATTTTTGTAACCAGGAGCTCTGTGCATACTAAAGTGGTATCTAGTGACCATTTAATGGTTAATGCATAACCATTACGTGTTTTTTGTCCCACGTCTTATGCCACCACCTCTTTCCTCTGCTCTCCCCAAGTCCTGATTACCCACTACCCTTTTGCTTTAATCACTGATGTGGTTTTTATCCCAGTCTCCTCTCACCTGGACTGTGAGGACGCCACCTCTCACCATCCCTCCGCGACCCAGCCAGTCGCCAGCCTCCATCATCATCTTCCCCGTTCTGTTCCTCCCTGAAGATGCGCCAGTTCTCGCTCTCAGAGCGGATAAACTCATGTTTCCTCCCTGTTGTTGCTGTCCCTCCTTCCTCAAAGTTTGGTCTCACTGCAAAGAAAATACGTGCAAGTTAACACACACAGTCCAGTCTTTAGGAACCTGGAAACACAAGGAATATCATCTCGCTTCCTTACAGGCAGGGATGCACCAACAGTAAGCAGGGCTGGAGACCTAAGAGAGCAATGGAAGTTTATATGTAAGGGATATGATGGAGTTACCTGCAAACCCAGGAGATAGACAGGTACACGAAGTTCCTGTCAGTCCCTATGTACGTCTGGATGAAAAGAATGTGGAAAAGACCAGAGGCAAATAAAAGCAAAGCACACAAGCGACAGGCAAAGATAGGAAAGAGGAGGAAAAGACAACAAACTAGGAGATACGGGAAAGTGTAAAAGGGAAGAGGCCAAAGTGTGTGGGGGAGGGGGAAAAAAAAAGAAAAAAAAAAAAACACCCTGCTGCATCATGGAAAGCCTCACGCTAAAGGAAAATGGGACTAAAGTTTAAAAATGTAAATAATACACTTTTATACAAAGCAAATATTTGCTACATGCATAGTCAAACTTTAGGGGGGAAGACCACACATTTTATCCAACGCTATGTGCACAGGTTTAGAGGACTGAAACATTACCAGGGGATTAAGGATTAAAGAAGAAAATCCCAGCTGTATCAGCATTACCCTGCAGCCAGTCTTCTGGAGAATCGAGGTCAGTATGTGAAGAGCTAGATGCACCAAAAAGCTCCAGTTTAAGGAAGAATCTATCACAAGTTTAGGAGCCTGGATTGGCATTTAGTCCCCAGTTTACATACCAAGTTTTATTTAAAATATATCATAAAACCTTTGGGTACTCAAAGAACAGCACAGTCAGAAAAAGATGACAAATACTTTTAGAAAAGGAGCCTCTACTATATTGCAACAACTCAGGCTTGACAGACCTACTGCTTTTGTTGGTGACCTGCCCTGACAAGGAAACACCAGCACTGAAATAGCTGTGGGACTAACTCGGCAGCTCGAGGCTGTGTGTCTCCTCCGCCAGGTTGTGACTGCACAGCCCTCGCGCCAACCGCGACGCTGCCGCCGCCGCGCTGACACTGCTCACCACTGCGAAGCTGAAATTACACAGCTCGCTACAAAAAAGGCATTCAAAGTGCTAGAGAAAGGTGCTAAATATACCCGGGACTGTAAGGAAGATATCTGGGGGAGATTGTAGCATATGCTCACTTGTTTAAACTAGAAAAACAAATAAAAGCATGACTACACACAGAGATTTCTGGTGTGAAAAACAACTTTCAATGACTACGTTAAGTAACCAGGTTAACCTCTAAAGGGCTGACAGGTTAGGAGATTTAGTTTTTTTTTAATGCCAGTGACCAGCTGAAAGAGAATCATGACATGATGAAGAGTGAAATGCAAAGCACCTAAAATAATGCATCCCCCTATCCAACTTTTTAGCAGGATGCAGGGCTTTGCACCCTGGACAGGTAAAACAAGGGTTTGCCTTTGGACTTCACATATGGCTTGAGAGTAACCAACGTTCCTTCTGGCAGGGGAGAAAACCTCCTCCTCCTCCTGGCTCTGCATTTTCACACAATTTGGTTTTATTCTAGGGAGGGTAGAATAGGTTTTCTAGGTAGGAAAGGGTACAGGGAAAGCTAAACTTGCACAGGACCAAGTTCCACTGCTGAATATCCTGGCATACTTTGGATTTCTATGCAAAGAAAAAAAGCACATGTCCTGCTGATATTTATGTTTTATTTTAGCGAATCTGACCTATGAGGCCTTACATAACCAAAATATACACTTATTTTGTTTGGCTAAAGACAACCACTTATTTGCTGGCCTCTGCACCCCAAGCCAGCTCTGACAAAGCTAATGGCTGAGACACAGGACTCTTCCTTAGAAGTGGGACAGGGACAACATTTCTTATTTGGAAACAGTAAGTCTTCACAGATTAAAAACACTTTTTTTCCACATTTCATGGCAAATAAATGAAGATGACATAGTAGGTAGAACCCAAGTCTGGAAAGTATATCCTTTATTGCTTTTAGATCACCAAAGAAACATAATGTAGAAGTATCAGGAAACATGTTGGTACCGCTCATCAGGCAGAGGAAAATTAGAGCTACAGAGTCAGGGCAGCTGGAAGAAAACACACCAAGAGAGATCACAGAGCAATGAGGATGCTACAATCTGCGATTCTGCAGCCTTCTTTCTAGCCAGAGGAGGAAGGCAGGGTGCCACAGCAGTGCCTCACTGGATGCCACCCTTCTGCAGAAGGGGGCAGAAAGTGGTTTTTATCCTTAAGTACTTCAGTTTTTTGATACTAGGACACCACCAAAAGACACTAAAAAAATAGACAAAATTGTATATAGGACTTTGGAAGTTACGAATTCATATGCAAGCTGCAGGAGCATTTCTAATGCACTGACTTTACATGTTGTTCTATCCCTGAGAACACTTTTCAGCTGAAATAACCCAGTTTAGCTAATCAGTATTTGGCGACATTTAAGGATGAAAAATCCAAAACGCAGTCCATGATTTTGCCTTGGACTAATTGACTGGACTTCCTGAGGAGAAGGAACAGCAAAGGGCACCTCTGTTCAAGCCTGTCACAATGCCAGTTATGGTGTTTACAGAAAACTTCAGCTAGAGCATTGCAGTATCCAGACAAAAAAAAAAAAAAAAGGCAGCCTACAGCTGTGCAGTGTGGGGGTGAGGAGGCAAAGAACGAGACCAGGATTCTGGGATGCAGCCCGACAACCCGTTTATGTAGGGAACTTGCTACTAAAATGACAAGTAACTTCAGTTCTCCATGCTGTCAGCCTGCATTTCCCAAGGCATGTTCAGAGCTTGAAGAGAATTAACAGGAAAGGGATGACTAACTGCAATACTGTTTCCTCTAAACACAGGAAAAACCAGGAAAGTCTGTGTGCTGTGATTTGGTCTCTTCTTTCTGCTGCATGCTACAGAGATTTCCTCCAGAAAATAAACTCCTTCGCACATAGTATTTGTAAAGGACCTCAGATGACCTGGCTTAGATGAATACTTTAGTAACACGTTTTACAGAAGAAAAAGCCTGTAACAAATGGGCTTAAGATAATGTTTCCAAAGAACCACCACCAACGTCTCATTTGGACAGTATTTGGCCGAGTATTGACACATTAGCTACACACACAGCAAAGGGCCTTATGGCCAGTCAGAAGCTCTCATCCCAGATTCTGGCTATTTTTTCTCCTTTGAGAAACCCTAAACCTCAAAACTAGGTCTCCAAGAGCTGCTAGTCAAATATCATTCCGGATTTTCCCACCCAACTCAGCACTGCCTTCTGGGATGAAAGCAGACAAACGACTAAACCCAAATAAATCAACATGAAGATTTAACTCCATTGCAGATACCTGGAAATAACATTCTATGACTGCTTCACCTACTGAGAGTGTCAGATTTTGGTCATCCAGGAGTCATTCAGGCTAGGAACACGTGACTGGAGGCCATGAGCTTTCCACAGCACAAAATACGACTTCTCACAGCAGCGACAGAACCGACGTGTCACGGGCAATGAGAGTGGCCCCCTGCAGCAGGAGTTCACCCTTGCTGGGGCACCAAGGAGGTTCAAGAGGGACTCTCGGCGTCCTGGAGGCTGCATGGGCAGTGGGTGCCCCCTCACGCCACGTTACCTCACTGGCTCTGCATACGGCCACTCACAGTGCTGAGCCTGAACATGTATTAAAATGCTCCATACTAATGAAGCAAAGAATTAATGTTTTGTAATTTAGGACTGGGAATGGAGGTGGGGGGTGCAGGTTAAAGTAAGAAGGCAAGGGAGGATTTTGTTTCCTAAGCAGGAAAGTCTACATTAATGATTTTCCCAGCAGGCCTGCCTGAGTTTTACCGCAAACAACCAGAGTCTTTGTTTCGCAGATCCTCTTACAGCTGACGTCTGACCAAAGCCCCCACACGAGCACCTAACCAAGGGAAATCAGTGTGGAGCACTGCGGTGCCACAGAGCTGTCCTCACAGGCTGCCTCAGCAGTGCAGCCCACTGCCAACACGGTCCTTGAGCTGCATCCTCCCTCTAGGAAATCTTTAACATAAATGAGAGAAAATGAGTTAAAATGGTCTCCTCTCTTGCCAAGGCTCAATCTCCCCACCTCTCCAAGGGCAGCACCCTCAGTGCATGAGATCCCAAGGGGAGGAAGCAGGGGCTCTGCGGACGGAACGAGGTGACCATAGAGCCTCCATGGTGCCCGAGCAGGCACTGCTTGATACTGCTTAGGAATAGAGTAACCAAGAACAGCTGGTGTTTTCCAGCAGCAGGAACACAGCTTTTTCCATGTAGCTTTTCTAGAAGAGTTTTGTCTTTTTGAACTTTCAAGTAAAGATTAGACAAGTCTAGTATATACATATATATGTATCTTGATGAAGGAAAGGGTCGGGGGGAGCGTGCCCCTTTTCCAAGCAAGCACTGGAGGATTTCTCCGTGGCTGCAAAGAGCTCGGGTGGGATGAAGTCGCCCTCCAAACAAACCGGCATTCTTTTCCACATGATCAGAGCTAACCAGCCCCCCTGCAGGCAAAACGACCAATCGAATCAGCTTCAGAGCAAAACCAACCCCCCCGGCATTATAAACACAGCAGCGAGACACACAAACCCTTGAAAGAGGAGGGGAAAAAAAAAAAGTAATTTTTTTCCCCTGCCCACCACTTGTGGGACATTTCTTACCGGTGCTGGGATCAGTAGCTGCGGCTGGCCCACCACCACCCTCCGCGGCGGCAGGTAGCTCCCTTGTCCCGCACACGCGCTCCTCAGAGCCTGGTAAGTACACACAGCTATCTTACTCTCTTCTTTTTTCCCTGATTGTACAGTTAGAAATAATCCTACTATTCTGCAGTCACAGGAATCCATACTGTCGTTAGGGAACAGAGCTTTATTTCTGATTATTTATTTATTCCTATAGCTAAGGTAGCCAAGTGTTACCCAGTGAGGTATTAGGGAACCTACACCTTCCTGCTGCAGGCGTAGCTCTGCATTTAACTTCTATCCCTTGGGGAAAATAAAGAAATACACTTCACCTCTTGAAGCCCCTTTCTACCACCTTCCACTATATCCCACGGCTTGAAGCATTTTTTTGCCCCTGTCCTTCTGTCTGGGCACTGCTGTTGAGGAAAACCACACATAGGTCACAACTGTAATGTCCTAGCAAAGTGCCTGTCCCTTGACACAAGCCCCTGGGACCATCTGCACAACCCACAGCGAGAGGGGTCTTCTAAACATGCCACGTTCGTAAAATCAGATGGCAAACTCCTACTGCTACAGCCTTGCATCCATAGGCATTCTCATGCTTCTCCTAAATCCACCTCCTTTGTTAAGGATACTTAAAACTTGGCATTTATGTATTATCTACAAAGGATTTAACAAATGCTAGTGCATTTTAAAACCCTGAGTAACCAAGAAGCAAAGTCTTGGTAATGTTTTTCCTGCTTTTCTAGAGATGCCCAGACCAGCTGGTCCATCAACCATTTTGCAGTCGACTGTTAGAGGCCATGTTGTATTTTCCAGTATTCCCTTTGAAAGGTGTAACTTGGGCTCAACAAATTAGAGCTCTCACATTCCATTAGAAGGCTTTTATTTATAAAAGGAACAAGTCTTGAAACTTGTATCTTAATCCTGCTGACCTCAGGAGAAAGAACAACACACCCTCCCTCAAAAGAAAAATAAGTTGTCACAAGTTACTTCTATTCATCTCAATGAGGAATTAACTTCAAAATCTAAAGGACAAACATTTGAGATATCAACTATTCTAATAATGGTTGCAGCATAACTGTTCAGCTAAAATAACATCCCATTAACTGAATTACCTCCTACAGTGTTAACATTATGACCTACTGTAAGTTATGAGTCATGTCATCAATACTGAAAAATAGTGTCCTCATTTCTTAATGGTAATAGGAAAGCATCTCAAGGATTGCCGTTGAATCAAAAAAAATACAAATACTGCAGTTTTAATAGCATGCCATTAAAGAATCTGTGGTAATTGCTCTTACAAAGTTCAGATGTTCCAACACATTGTGATTTACAGCACAGAGATGGTGCTTAAATGTGAAAGAGGTACAAGATTAATTTAGACCTGGATCAAGTAAAGCAGGCAGGTATATATTCATAGAATAGGTCTGCCAGCATTACCAGGGTTCTAAAAAATTTCACTATTATAAAAGTCTATATGGTCATATAATAATAGTTCAAATTATGCTACCGTTATAACCAGCTTTTGTCCTTAGTCCCAGCAAACAACATGTCCTCCTGGCTATTTCACTGTTGTGATCAAGCAGCACAGAATAAAGTTGCTCAAATCCTTTCCAAGGTCAATTAGAAGAGATTTTGTTGGGAACGGAAATTGGGCAGGTGAGCCAGCACTGCAAGTGTTTCTGCTGGAACAGAGCTCCACGTTCTAGAGCACTCAAGCTCCTGAAAGGGGAGCAGGTGCATTAATAGACTGAGCTGAAAGCTGCTGGAAGTGTCACTGCCACTGTCCTTCAATTAGGAAGGCAAACAAAAAGCAAATGAGGACACTTGCAAATGAGTCCTCTGCAACCCTAAATTTGTAACAGCCAAGCTTCTGCTGTCAAGAGAAAGGCTAGGTAGAGGATGCCAAAAGAAGGGGTAAGAAACAGTAAGATTTTTTCTAACTATCACAACACAAAGATCTCAGTCAAGATGGCAGAGTGGGGAATTCGGATGGGTATACTCTAAGGGATAAGCACCCAAACGAAGAGCAGTGTGTTGAGTCATGCAAGTGATTTTTCTAGAACTGTATGGCAAAGTTTTATCATCAGCAAGCCATGGCAGTTCAGAACCTGTTCAGCTGGCTTGGAAAAAGGAAACCGTGCCCGTGATCCATAGCGCTTACCTTACCTTGACCTGACTTAGAAGAATGTACACAAGAGAAGTGATAGAGCAAGAAGCAAAGCAGGAGGGGGGGGGGGAAAGGAAAATAAACACCCACACCCCATGCATGGGAAACCCTTAAGACTATATTTGCCACTACAGAATTAGGGGTAATCATTTAGATTTCTACAGAATGAAAACAGGAAGAATTACAAACAGCAAATGCATATATTAAGGTCAACAGGTTGGAAGAGATGTAGAAAAGTCTATTCTGATGAACACCACGTGGGAAATGGAAAGGGAAGAATCACCCCAAAGCCACAATGATTTCACAAGCCAGGAACTAAGAAAAGCAAAAACGGACATACAGAAACAATGTAAAATAAAGCTCAGAAAATGTCATTAGATAAGACTAGATTAGAAACAGCATATACTTGGCAGTAGAGTCAAATATTCCCCAACAACACTGAATTTTTTAAGTCAAATTGTGCGTCTTTTCTAAAAGATACACTCTATATGAAACAAGAAATAACATGGCAACATGAAGGCCCATGCAGGACATGAAGTCAGAGGATCAAAACTGTACTTTATACCTATACTAACTTATCACTAACAAGAAGGCTAGGAAAGATTTTTTTTTCCTAACCTCCAGTGGGTGGGGAAATGAATATGTAGAGGGTTTTTTATTTATTTAATTACTTTTTAATATGAAGTCACACCTACTCCTATGCTGACTGTGCTTTGGAGAATTTGGAGGAAGACTGCTGACCAAGTTTTTCCCCAGGACAGCTGTTCTTTTGCCTCTTATACTGACTGCACTGCATCACTATCACAACCTATGTGTTTTTTCTTAGGCTTTTTTTTTTTTTTTTTTTTTTGAGGAGGGAAAAGGCAAGATTTGTGACTCTTAAAGACATTAATATCTGTTTCAAAAGATACACTTTGGAACCAAAGCTTACACCCTTGAAGCTATCACTGTCATCTAGTTAGCCACCTAGCATCTTAAGCAGAGGCTGATGTCGGACTAGAGTGCAGGAGCAACCTGGTTTAGCTCCCATGTCCCTGCTCCCAGGGAGCCCGGAGGAGCAGCGGGCCGAGGCTGTTGCAAAACGCACGGCCAGAGGCTAACAGAACTCCACCGAGATCTCACCCGAGACCTTCCAAACCCACCAGGAGTGGATTCTCCAAGAACAAACACATTGACCCAATTTTTCAGAGCTTTGAGTCAACATTAAATGATTGTTGATCATCCTTGATCGACAATCTTTATCAACAGCATTTAGACTCTGTAGCACTAACCTAGACACTGTGGCACTTGGAAAACAGCAGTCAGCTGCTCTTTATATTAATTGCTGTATTAATGTAGAAGACAAAAAAACCCACAATCCCACTCAGGCAATGAACTGTTCTAGTGCTTTTCATTAAAATATGGGCAGAAGAAATTTTGGAATGGCCTGCAGATCTACAGAGGGAAAGAAAAACAAGAATTTAGCTAACTTTATTCCCTATAAGGTTATCTCTTATACTTCAAAAATGCATTAAATGCAAGTAAAAACAGTGTTTTGAAATTACTACATACTCAAATTTGTTATAAGCATCAAGTAAACAATCATGAAAACTGCTGCTTTACAAGATCATGTGAAGCATTTTTACCCTTCACCAGTGGGTTCTTAAGTACAGAACTCTCAGATCTATTGTTTAAAGTTACAACTATGACAGCATTCCTGAAACAAACCTGTGATTCCTGTAGCATGCAGAGATTGCAATTCAGAGAAAGGTTGTAATTGATGAGAAACACATAAATCTAATGGACTAAATATATATCATCTTTGTGACTTGCAGAATTGAGGAGTACTGTGAAAACTGCTTATTGTTTTATGCACAAGCTGCCTCATCATTATCTGTAAAAAGGTTTTGCTTTACGAATAACCTCATCTTACACAAGCTCCTACTTATTTTAATCTGTCCCAGATGAACTTTAAGCACTCGGCTTTTGTACGGCCTATAGATTCGGTCTGTTCAAAGATGCTCAGCAGCTTTGAGAAGTCTGATCATTTTGTTTCGAGGCTAAAAAGTAAGCAGAGGAGCCTAACATATGCAAGAGTTCCCATTTTGCTTTGCACGTGCAAGATCTGCAACTTCACCTCCCTGTCCTCTCACTCCCACATCTGCTGTCCCATTTTCAGATTTGGTCATTAATAAAATATACTTTTTAGGCAGACTAAATATCCGATTATTTTCCATATTGGTTTCCTGCCCTCTTTTTAATCATGTCCTTCCATGAATGGCCTCAGATTCACAGAAGTAGCTCTGCCCTGAATCCGGTAACATGCTTAACAAGATGTGGCAGGTAGAGAAAACAGTGATTTCCTGAGCTAGAAGAACCTGAGAAGAAATACATTTCAGGAGGAATGAGGTAAATTACAGCATTCACCTAAAACAAATAGGCATGCTAAGGAAATAAGGGAATATACATTCTTTTCATATCAGCATTGGTAAGCTATTATACTCTTCTGCTAACAAGAGACTGCAAAATTAAGCAGTTTTAATTAAGCAGACAAAATTCAATTACTTTACAAATATACCATGCCTGACCTACACACAGGAACAAAGATGCAACTGAGAGGTAAAGTATGAAAATAATATTTAAATGACTATGCAGGGAAAGTTTTAAAAGTAGACAGATTTCTACACCTAATCTTTTTTAGCAAAGTATTACCACAAACAGTGGTAAATTCCACTCCAGACTCCTGACTTAATCTTCTCTGGATTGCAATGTATAAGCCCTCCTTTGTTGGCTGCAGTTTTTCTACCCCTGCTGATGTGTCAAAATCTGTGAACATTAGGCAAAACTCAAATATGCTGGATGGCACCAAACTAGCTTTTTTCTTCCTTTTTTCTCTTTTCTAGAAAATGAGAACAGATACATTAGAGAGCAATAACACTAAATCCAGCGCTCCTCTCCTGACCCAAAGATACCTGAGGATGGTCACTAAGGACGGACACAGCACGTTCCAGATGGACGGTGCCCAAGGAAAAGGCCTGGCGTACCTACGAGACGCCTGGGGAATACTGATGGACATGCGCTGGAGATGGATGATGCTTGTCTTTTCAGCCTCTTTTGTCATCCACTGGCTAGTCTTTGCAGTGCTTTGGTATTTACTGGCTGAGATGAACGGGGACCTGGAGCTGGACCACGATGCTCCACCTGACAACCACACTATATGTGTCAAGTACATCACCAGCTTCACAGCTGCTTTCTCTTTCTCACTGGAGACACAACTCACCATTGGTTACGGCACTATGTTCCCAAGCGGGGACTGCCCCAGTGCTATTGCCCTGCTCGCTATACAGATGGTCCTGGGACTCATGCTGGAAGCCTTCATCACAGGTAATCCTTCATATTTAATCCTTCAGATAACATATGTGTAAGAAATGAAGCCTAAAATAAATAGTGATCACATTGATATCTTCCTGAGAAATAAGAACTAAGGTCAGAGTAATACAGTAGTTACAGTAATATTTCTGCCATGTAAGAGGCAGTCAATGCTTTACCTTTTTAAAAAAGGTGTGAGTTATATAATATTAAACTCTGTACTAAATAGTATGAAGTACCACTGCTCCCTAGCTGCTCTTCATGGCTCCTCACTGATAACTGTCACTTGTTTCTTGTGCCATGATCCCCCTCCGCCCCTCTTTTTTTTATTTGTCAAAACAACTTGACTTTAAGGTATACTCTTGTGCATTTAAAGCTAGTTGAAGTATTTCTACTGATGATTCTTATTAATCTGTAACTCAGTATTTCAATACCCCTCAGCAGCCAATGCAAAGGAAATCTTCAGCATTTCAGAGGTATTTGGCAAGTAGATGGAGCAGTTCTAAGTTACATATAATTATTCCAGACTTAAAGGAGAAATTCATTTACTGAGCTTCTCAAGAGGTAGCGCATCAACACAAGGTACTCTTGCCAATTAGAGGCAAAAAGAGCAAGCAAAAAAACCTCCTTTTCTACAAACATAAGTATTCTAGACTAGAAATATAAGTAAACACAGTGCAGAAGAAAAGCATCTCAGGAAAGCTAAAACTTTTTTTTTTTTTTTTTAAAAAAAAAGAATGATTTAATGTGATGGCTGTGTTTGCAAGTCTAACAGTTAAAATATGCTGCCTTGGTTGAAAAACATGTCCCTGTACTAACCCTGCCCTTCCTTTGGCTTCTCTCACATGGCTCGGATGGTAGAACCCCCCAGACTCCACACGTGTAACTCGATCAGCTCTTTTCTCCACACAGGTGCTTTTGTGGCCAAGATCGCCCGTCCAAAGAACCGGGCCTTCTCCATCCGCTTCACCCGCTCGGCCATCGTGAGCTGCGCGGAGGGGACGCCCTGCCTCATGTTCCAGGTGGCCAACACGCGCTCGAGCCCGCTCACCAGCGTCCAGATTTCTGCTGTCCTCTACCAAGAGCAGGAAACCGGACAGCTGCACCAGACCAGTGTTGACTTCCACCTGGACAGCATCACTTCCGAAGAGTGTCCGTTCTTCATCTTCCCGTTGACCTACTTCCACCTCATCACTCCCTCCAGCCCCCTGGCTGCTCTGCTCCAAAGGGAGGCTCCTCGGCACTTCGAGCTCGTGGTCTTTCTGTCAGCCGTGCAGGAAGGCACGGGAGAGATGTGCCAGAGGAGGACGTCCTACCTCCCCTCAGAGATCCTGCTGCACCACCGCTTTGCCTCCACACTAGCCCGCAGCGCCAAAGGGGAATATCAGATCAAGATGGAGAATTTTGACAAAACTATTCCAGAGCTCCCAGCCGCAGCTGACTCAAAGAGCCCAAAAAGGACTGCCAAGGAGATCCGCATCAACGGACAGCACGCTGACAGCTTCCAGCTCTCCGAGACTGGCCTCACAGAATAGGCAGCAGACTTGGAACTTTAAAGTGCGCTTTATTATTACATTTAACCTTCAGGTTCCATTGACAACCTTCCTTCCATCTCCTAGCCATCTTTCTCCTATATTCCCATCCTTTGGCTACAAAACGATAGGCAAAAGAACGAGAGCGCCCGTGGTGGCTGAGCAGCAGCTGCGGGCGCCGCGCTGAAGCGAGTCGGGCTCGAGCAGCTGAATCCACCAGACTACCATGAAGGCTGGACTGACCCTGAAAGCAGAGCACTGCAAAACCCCCAAAGCTCACCAAAATACTAATTAACCAGCTTGGGGCAAGATGGACAAGAGCTACAAAGGAGAAAAATCTCACTCAAATCCAAAACAGGGTCAATCAGTTAATACATTAGCTTGGTATAAGCAACATGTTGATCCAGGACACTCGTTTTTCCTGCTCTCTTAATCCTTTGGGAGTACAGGGTTTTATCAGTTTTCAGACAGCTGAACTTACTCTTAGAAAGTTCTGCCAATCTCTCATGGCAGCAAAATGTTCTCCTGCTGTGCTTGTTTATTAAGCAAAATTGTGAATACTAACTGTAGTTCTTCATTCTGCCAACTAAGAGGTGACTATATCATCTTAAGACAGGTCTGCAAGGACTTGATCAAAAAAATCTTGAAGTCTGACAAACATTGCAATGTAAATTTTTTTCATATTTGGATACATTCAATAAATTATTTAGCAATAGAACTCAGCAGTTTAAATACATCAGTGTACTTTTTGGAAAGGACAATCTATTTGTGTGCTCAGCTTTGCACCGCGTCTCTCGAGTAGGCCTGAGCCATAAGGATGCACTATATCCACAACAGTAGAACTGCATCCATATTTTATGCCTTTAAACATTATTTTTCTGTACACACAGAACAAAAATCATTTAGAGAGACACTTAAATCAATTTAAAAATAAAACATTAAAGCAAAACAATAAGACTTTTGTATTTAAGTGCCTCAAAAGCCAATTGCAATTAAGTTACTCTGAAACTCAAATAATTTAAGCAACTAAAATATAAATAGAAAGCGTAAGAATTACTTCTAGGCTCTCAAGAGAAGCAAATTCCACACCTTCTCTCACTATTACATACTGAGAAAGAAAATCTTTACGAATTAAAAGGCAGAGCAAGAGCCACAGAACAGACTACTGTCAAGTTTGAAACATCCATTTAGAAAAGAACAGCAGTGCCCTGAGTGAAGCACTGGTCTTCTCTGTATCACATACTCCAGTTTCAGACAAAACCAATTATTTCTGCAATTCGGATGTATAGCGCAGCAGAGCAGCACTGTAATCTCACAGTTTAGAGCCAAAGTTATAAGAAGCTATTTTCTAATAGAAATAACTTTGGCTGGAAGAAAACCTAATTTCAGTGGAGGTCTAATCACAACGGGTGGACAGCTCTGCTTACTTTTTAAATTACTTCTTGAGTCTTGAAATTTGTCTTGTTTTAAATCATTTTCAATTTAGAGGGCTTGTTTAAAGTTGGGTAGGAAATTAAAGCAACAAGCACAAAGACTGTGCTTGATATGTCTTAGAGGCTCTTCAAGTAGCACATTTGTGGAATGTAGAGCTGAAGAACACGACTGAGGTTAATTACACAAACGTCACTTAGGGACAACAGTTGCAGAATATGAGCTAGGCAGAGCACCCTGTTACTTTTACAGTTTTGAAGAACTGGAAAAGCTTGGATGTTTCATGAGGTATTGGAGAAACGCCACAAGGCCAAATCAGCCTAGGAAGACTGCTGATCAGCTCAGCTGCAGCCAAACTGCACCCTCTGCTTGGACTTACGTTGCAAGAGCACGCGAGCGATGAACCTTCCTCGGGCACATTTCTTGCTATTCATGGAGGGAAGGAAGACAAGGTAGCAAAGTAAGTGGAAGTTTAATTCAAAGGACTTGAGCATTCTTTTAATGTTCATTTGAGGACCCTTTTTATATTCAAGTTTAAGTGATAAACAGACATTGAACAGAATTCAGGCAGGTTCCACAACTGCCTCTACATGTCTCGTACAATCTACATCATGATTATCACGAGTGTATAAGTACTGGTTTCCTATCAAACCTCCTCAGCTACTAAGCTGGCATTAGTCAAGAGGTTGCATAGAAAATTAAGTTGCTTTTGTGCAGGTCTCAAAAGACACCTGAAATGAAGAAAACTCCTCGGTTGTTTTCTCTGCTATTTGTCTCAGCTTTCCAGAGCAAACTGGGGTCCTCAAGGGAGTCTGTGGCAACTACAGCAACCCGTACCAAACTCACAAAAGCTTTGGGTATCTTTAGTCTGAATTTATGAGCTAAACATACTGATCCTATCTGAGAAATAATGCTCTAGTGAAGGCCTGTTGCTTTTTTGAAGCATGGTACAGTTAGAGGTTCAAATCCCTCACTGAGTTTAAGGAGGATAACAGAAACCAATACATGCACCTGCTATGGGTTACTAGCCTAAATTGCACAGAGTCACTTACACCCTGAAGAAATTCCTTCCATGTCAATTCACTCCTTGACCTTTATGCTTTAACTGCTGTATCAGCAATATTAAAATTAAGGAATTCATGTCAGTGGCTTTTTTTTTTTTAGGCAAATCAATAGCCTTATATTAGGCTCTACATATTACTTTAACTGGAAAACATTTGCAAAGCAGTAACTATTTATTAACCTACCTGGAGTCAATCCAGACCAACACCTCCCACTAATACTTTACTCACCATCCTATTTCTCCCTGAAGGGAAGGAGAAGAGACAAAAACCTCTCACTTTTTTTCAACATTCACTTCTAACAGTGCGATAAGCAAATACAACTACAGCTAAAACAGCTTTAATGTTAAAACTCCAAAGGCTTCCACAACTCACCTCGATCACACTGTGTACCACAGGTATTGTAGCCCAGTAAGATCAAGCTACAAGAGCAACACAAGAGACTTTCAAAAGCAGTCAGATACGATATGAAGCTTTGTGCAAAAAAGCACCCCACCCTTCAATGACGCAGGATTTCCAAAACACAAGGGGATACTCTTTGCCAGAAAACCGTGCATGGAAAATACATTCCAGAGATCTGATCATTAGTAGGAGTGTTAGACACGTTATGTAGAAGTTAAAATGTTAGCCCTCATGTTCTGGCAGAAATCTGCTTCAGTACAGACACACAGCAATTTCTTTGCAGTTTCAGTGGGTAGATCCATCTCATTCTCAAGTGGCACGTAATATTTATGATCATAACCTTACACAGGAGTTGCATACACTCTATAATCTGGCCTTGGAACTGCTGCAACTATTGCAATGGGAAGAGGCTGGCAACAGGACAGGAAGGGGATAAATCAAATGAACTCGACTGTTGCAGACATGACTTGTACTGTTTCTACATAGTTTCCCTTTTTGGGTGTGGAGATGAAAGCACTAAATCTTTTATTCCCTCCTCAAAAAGGATATCCACATATCAGAGAGTGAATGTTTTGCTACTGGCATTTAAAGATAGACAACCTCCCATTATTTACAGGAGTAATCTCTTTTTAAGGAAAGTAGACAGTGAGGAAAGCAGGTAGCATCTCTTGGCTTTGTGGCATCTTTCAACTCAAAAAGCAGGAAAACATAAGCATTCTAAATTATATTAAAAATATCACACAGAGAAGGTTCAGAAGGCTTTGAAAGCAGACATGGTGATTTAAGACTCTGAAGACACGGGTCATCAAGGTAATCTGGAAAACTATTAAAACAGAAACTTACAGGACTGCCTAAGAAAGACACTCACTGCTAAGCAGGAGGGTTAAACACATTCCTATCAACTTCTAAGTGCAACTCGATCTTTTTAAGAGTTTCCATCTGCCTTGAAATCCAATCTACAAGTATCTTTTCTGACCTATGCTTTATCCACACACCCACTAAAGGAGAATGTTTAGCTAAGACACTTTCAGCAACAGCCAAAAGAGATTCTCTAGGTCCTATCAAGGCAAAACCTCACGGTCAGCATGTGTTTACTGGTACATAAACCTGTCGTCAAGCACAGCTGAGCTGCACACTAGGAAACAGGCCACAGAGAAGACCACAAGACCACACCAGGAAGTGACCCATGCACCACCATACGATGCAGAAACATCACCACACATGCCACATTCAGCTAATACGGGACAATTTCCTTAAGCATTTGTACCACCAACAGAATATCAATTCCATCTAGATCAATCTGTTCCATCTCCAAGATGATGTTCTGCTCCAATTAAAGTTCAGGTAAACATTCAAATATATCTACTGGGCTAAAATTACACGTTCTGCCTGAAAGAGGCCGGTGTGACGTGTTTAAAGAACAGTATCAGAGAGCTGGCAGGTCTGCCTGGTGCAGACTGTGCTTTACTGGGAGGGAACAGAGGGAACAGGTGCTACCTGACTGAGCAGAGTATCTGTGTAATGACGAAGTAATTCCATAAGAAGAGGACCCTCTAGGGGCTGCCGTCAGTATCTACCTCCTGCAAAGAGGCATTCAAAAACTTCAGTAGTTCAGGTGGCCAAGTGGTTCTGGACATCAAGACAGCAGCCCCCAGGATGTTCAAAAGCTGCATTTAAGAGAAATTCCCACAGGGCACCTGGTAATCAATGAAGTTTCTTTCCACAGACAACTGTGGGCACCACATTTTAGTTGAATAAGCAGGACCTTTCTGACGACTTTTCTTCTCTAAAACATTAAGATCCCCAATTGTTAAATCAATACAAATAAAAAACCAACATTTTGAGGAATACATTCAGAGGAACTTGGCACAGCACCATGAATCTTACATCAATAAAAGGGCTTGGAGCAGTAAGAAAGAGGGTTTAGGTACACAGAGGCCCCTTCCCAACACACACCCCTGCTCCTCCCTCCCGCTTCCTGCCCATACAGGAACAAAACCGTACCTGGATCTTTTCGCCCTGGTTTTTCAAAGCGTCTGTCTCCCCTAGAAAGGCAGAATAAAAGTTTCAAGAAAGGTTTTGGAACTGCTCCACTCATTTTAGGTATGGCTCTAATATTTGTTTTCCCCCCCCTCCGCCAATCAGACCTCACTGGACAGAATCTTTCAAGATCTAAGTGACAACCAAAATTTTTCGACAGGTTTGGCAACTACATGTTTCAAAACTTGATCCTGATTGTCATGAGAAGCGTCAAGACTGAAGTTTTACTGAAGTAAAACCTTCAACAATACGTATTTTCACCCAGAGATTATCCATTTCTATTGTAGCTCACTTATGTTGAAGCAGTTCCTTCTTTCCAGGAACTTAGTAGAAAACACATCTTCGCAAAAAGTACTTTTTTAAAAAAAAACAAACAAACAAACAAAAACAAACAAACAAAACAAAACAAAAAAACTTTTCACCTTGTTTCTAGAAACACCACCGTGTTAGCGCCACCTCAAATCAGACACATTCACTCCAGGTATGCCTGAGCACCTTTCCTGAGATGATTTTATGAAGCCGCAAGGCACAAATGGAAGCTAAGCAGATGCAAGTAAAAATTTTAAAAGCTAGAGTTTTCTGTTACCTTTCCTCCCAACTCTGTGATCTGTGCATTTCCCTGCCCCCTCCTCGCCCAAATCCACCCTCCACTTCATCAAAACTTCTTTGGTAGAAACCGCTTTCTCCTCGGCCTCTGCCTGAAAAGACAAAAAACACAGGAATTTGAATAAATAATAATAAAAGTTGAGAGTCAAGTAGGTTTCCCTTTTCACAAGTCCACGTGAACTGATTTCAGAATATTAAGCCCCAGTGAAATTATCTGGGGCAAAGGGAAAAAGGAAACAAGACTGATGCAAGAGAGTTATGTAAAAGATTCTTAGCAAGAAGCACAGAATCAGACAGAACAGGCAAACAATTCTGTAATAAATAATATGCAGAAAACCAACATAAAACAGATACTTACCCTACAGAGATTACCAAGCAAGGATGCACTGCTCACTCCACTTGTCATGGTGGGTACAAGTGCACCTTATGCTCACAAAAAAAGAATCATTTCTAATAGCAGCATTCAGAAGAAGGGCACACATGCTGCAGATGTTCTAACTACTGCCATCAAGGTTAGGAAGGAAGGAAGGAAGGTTCACCTTTCCTTTCTAGTGATCCTCAGAAAAGATCTCCAGGAGCAATGGGAAAAAAAGGATCACAGGATGCATATTGGCAAGAAGACATGAAGAATCCCAGTAACTACAGAATAAAAACTGATCTCCTCACTTTTTCAAGACATTTGCTACCAAATAGCAATTTGCTACCTGGTAGCAAGCCTCAAGGCAGGTTTTCCTCCATGTTTCCTCAGTGTAGGCACATCTTCAGTGTTTGTGAAGACAGCAGCATATTTTGGTTAATAAAAAGAGCCAAACGCACACGCACATCCCCAGAGCTGCTGGGAAGTTCCAGCACTGCTTAGATTAACACTGCCTCAAAGTGCTACAGATGTAGCAGCAAATGTATGAGCAAAAGAACACCTAGCAAGGGTGAAACCATCACACACACCTTTTCACATTTCCTTCTGGCCCACAGAAACCACCACCTCCAAGGACAAGGTGCAAACCTGTCCTGGCACCTGGAAGATGATGACAAGACAATGACCAAACAAAACACGAAGCCAACATCCCAGTCAAAATGAGCAGACTTCAGAGACCTTAGTCTTTAAAAGAAAGCAACAAGAACCTCTATATCTAAAATCCAGTGACCTCAGGTTGCATCAAGGATTGTGCCTTATTTCAAGGTTTTATAAGAGCCTCTGAAAATGATGCAAAGAATAAACTGTTGCAACTGCCTTATTTGTAAGCTTTCACCAAACCTCTTGTAAAAAAAGCTTCTCTCTAGAGAGCAAGGAAAAGAGATTCAAAGATAATTCAGTGAGACTCCTCAAAAACATATTAATTTCATATTATGCACCCCTGGGCACAGGGTGGACAAGCAAGTTGCATAAACTTGTCTATTTTATCTGTAAGTGACGAGTGAGAAGTTGCATTGGCAAAATACGGTAAGAAGTACCGATACTGCATAAAAAGCAGCATGATGTTTATTCACTTACAGATTTATGCCCCCCTATGGTGGTGGGAAAGAGGCTGGCTCTGGTTCCTCATAGATGAGCCCCAGGAAGTTTTACTCGTCACATGCAGTGCCAGTCTTCGCCACAGGAAAGCTCTCTTCCCTTTCACAGAAGATAACACAGAAGATGCCGAAGCAGCTCACAAGAGAAAGCCATGGGCAGCCAGAGCCAAAGCAGGATGAAGCCACTGACTCGCTGAGGCTGCTGAGAAGTTGCAGGCATTTTTCCACCCCAAAAGTTCACTTGCCCTTTCCTGTTTTTACAGGGCGCAACAAAGCAACCTCTGTAGTGCTCCCCTTGCAGTGTAAGCAAGTATGGACACACACTGATTACTAATATCACAGTCACACAGCCAGCAGACCCAGGCAGCTCGGGACAGGGGATTTCAGCAGCAAAAGGGCAAGTGCCATGTATGAGGAGAATGGAATCAGGGGACTTTTGCTTTAATAGCAGCATGGCACTGCCAGCTTGAAAAATGTGTGAAAGGGGGTTTAAGAAATCACTTTGCACCTACGACCCTCTGCGTGTCACCGTCCAACATCAGCTGTCTCAACCAGCCTTTGCAATGGTCTGAATTAAAAGATGGTCCCTGCTCACAGCCGCTGGCAGCTCTGACCCCCCAGCATGGGGGGTTAAGCTGTTGTTACCAGTGAGGATCCCAGGAAAGCTACAGTCATTCTGCCACTCTACTTGGCTGCCTTCGGTAAGGGACATTGTGTGGCTGCAGTCTTGGATGGATGTGGCCATTTGACAGCGTCCTGCACGAGGTCCAAGCAGAACCAGAGCAGAGAGCAAGCTGACCACTGCGGAACCGCCCTGCACATGGAAATGGCTTCTGCTGAGCTGCACAACGCTACGCAGGCAGAGAAGCACGGCGTAAAGAAGGCAGAGTTATTCAGCAAGCATTAAGTAGATTAGTCTGACCAGAAAGTGCACACTAGGACACAGCTAATGCTGATAAGAGAGCATATGAAAAAGGCAAAGCTTGCAGAGAAGGTAAAGCTGCACCAAATAAATAATAATAATAATAATTAAAAAAAAAAATCACACTGCTTGCCACCCCACACCTTCACACTTGGGGACATTTCTGTGGCTAACAAGTCTAGAAATGTATATTTTTTTTAACAGAACAACACTTCAAAAAGAAGTTTGCGTATGAAGAATAAACTGTCTAAATGTAGATGTTAACTAGGCAAAACATTCACTGCAAAGTCGGTGCACATTACTGAACTCACTGGACTGGTTGTGTCACTTGTGTTGCAGTAATCCCTTAAAAACAAGCACCTCAGTCCTCTGGATACTATAGCACAGTGCCCAAAATCTCTAACCTAACACACAGACAAGCAAAGCGTACAAGACAAGCAAGAGGGTAAGCAGCAGCATACACTGCCATCTTAACTGCCCTTATGCAAAGCAAGGAGCAAATTCCTGTAATTAGAGCACAACTGGAGTTCAGGACCTACTGCCACAGTCCTAATGGTCTGTGGCAATTGCAGGCACTTGTGGCTGGAGTACAGCTGTTGGGGGATACATAAGAGCTTTCCACTGGCACACTGTTCACACCCTTTTCAGAGTAGGGAAGATGCTATACAGAGAAGAGCAAAAGCTCTAATAGGAAGCAAAGACTGCCCTTGTTGTGGCTTTAACCAAAAACAAGAACAGCTACAAAACAGTGTGTCCACAAGCTTAGGGCCCAGGCCAAAGACTGCTTAAATCTCTCCTCATCCCAGGCTCTTATTCATGAGTGTTGACATTCCAGCCCTGCGAGCACAAAGCTGGGGCTTAGCTGCTCGCCACGGGGAGCTCCCGGGAAAACAAGGCAATTAGAGCAGGAGGTCACGTGCAGGCACTTGGGTCCTTGCAAGAATGCAACTGCAGAGCTCAATGGAAGGCTTGCGTTTACGCCCCCCACAAAACACACACATTAAAGATGACACTTCACAACTGCAAATGCTTTGAGCATTAAAACTAGGCTGCATTTCAGCAGGCTGTCATTAAAAAAATTAAATGGAGTTAGAGGAGCTTCCTTGTTAGGAAGCACAGTGACCATCTTTACATCAGCTACATGTCAGAAATGCATATGCTGTCAGAACGGCTCCAGGTGACTACTGAGAAAATATTTACTCAGTGCTGTTTTGTAGTTGTGATAACTGAAGTCACATTTTGAGTTCTAATAATAATCCTTAGCAGCAGTTTATTCAGTCAGCCCTTCACTAATCTGTGCCCCAGATTCCCTCTTGCCTCCTCCTGAACACAGTAATTCAACCCTGTGATCGGTGCCTCAGCAAGGGAACTTAATTAACAAATCCAATCATACCTGTAAATTCTTCCCTGAAGTTGTTATTGGGCAAGTCTGTTCAAGACGACAATCCTGTTTTGGTACAGCTGAAGCCTGAATTTGATCAGCACCTCTATTATATACAGTGATGCAAACATGAAAAACTACCAGATAATCTTTCTTCCCCAGGCAATTTTGCAAGGCTACAAACAAAAATGCTTTCCGATTCTAAGCGAAGCAACACATTTAGTGAGCAAACTATGAAGAAATTCCACAAGTCCTTTTCATCCCCTCTTGCCAAAACAACGACATTTAGAGCTTGCTGGAAGCAAAGTGCTACTTTTGAAAGTTAGATGACAGTCTTATGCAGAGCTTTTCACAAATAACTCTTAGAGCTCTTAATTAGAACAGCATCAAGTATGTAACTGCTAAAAAAACTAGTTAGGTCCTTGCAGAAATCCTGTTTGTTTGCCAAGATATAGAAACTTTGTGAAGACTCATTGTGCCAAAAACTAATTGCTCATGGAAAGAAATGGGGAAGAGGAAAAGAAACAGCAGTAACCAAGATGACCTGAACAGGGACTCCTCAGCAATTTACAATTTAACTGTATCCAGGATGAAAAGGAAGTGAAGAAGGGTTTGGAAAGTGTCATTTACAGTATAGTGGAAGGTATACGAAGGACAAATAGCCTAACAAAAGCGGGGTGTAAAAATTCATACAAATTTAGGGAAAAAAGATTAAATAAGAACTAAAAACTAAGTGAGCAACAGATGAATCTTCTAAGTTCTTAAGCTAGTACTTTAATATACCTTTAAAATGAAGTATAAGAAGTATATGAATATAAGAAGTAAAAGTTTTCTGAAAGTCTTAATGTAAGTTTTGTCCACAGAACTATATTCAAGCTTTACCACTAAACAAAACTTCAACCCATATATCTGATGACAGAATTACTGGATTAGAAGCCATATTCTGCTACAATTCACTGATCTCACTGAAACTAGTGGGGGTACCTGAAATACTGCCAGCTCCCTCTGCAAGGGTGATGGTCATTGCTAAACCTCCAGCAACAAGAGAAGGAGGAAATTAATTGGACAAAAGATGAAGAAACAGAGTTAGGTAAATTAGATGCACTGAAACATCCTCAAATCAACACCGGAATACACTGGTGCTCATGAGCTCAAATGACTGAGTTTTAGACAGCGTTCATTCCATTTGTAGAAAAAAGCCTTAAAACATATATAAAAATAACATATTTCTTCATAGGGAAAGTGAAACACGGGTGGTAGCAGTGCAATCTCCGCATTTAAGGCACTAGTGAAAACACTGAGTTTTCAAACGCACAGCTGAAATCTAACAAGGCACAACCAAGAGCTTCTCTCCTGCATGAGAAATACCACTTCTTTCTCTTAACTAAGCCCTGAGCAACTAAGCAGCAAAGGCAACAATAAATAAAGAAGGGGAAGCAGCAGGAAAAAAAAGAGACAGTCCTTTAAAAGTTTAAATGCATAAGTCTTAACCAAGTAATAGCCACGAGGGGGCAGAAGGCAGACTATAAATATCTAAAAGACACAAGCAAAGAATGGAGCAAGATAAAAGAACGAACAGAAATGAAAATGCAAATTAAGGCAAATTTCTGATCAAGCATGTAACTATCCATGGAAATGATTTCCAAAGATGTTAATGAAAACATCTCCATTTAAGGCCATTTACATTTAGATAGGACTCCTAAAAAATCTCATCTAAGCACCTGCAAAGCCAGAGGTTACATTACTAATTACTCCTGAAGATACTCCCAAGTTACTAGCTCTTAGTATTCTATACATCAACAGGGCATATCCATATATAAAAAACTTAATAGTGTTCAGAATCAAACATATCGAAAGGAAACTGATAAAATAAATTGACACTAACAACTCGCTTTCAATGTAGTGATAACTGCTTGAGGTCATTTCCCCGTTTATTCCAAATGTCTGAAGTGACCCAGGACAGACTGTGGATTATAGTGATGCACTAAAATTGGCAAGACTCAAATTTCTCTTAAATTATACCTCTTCATTAACCTTTTCATGTTTGGATCACAGATGTTTAGATAAAAATGACTTTTCAGAACACTGAAAGCAACCTACTACAGTCTTAATGTTTTAAATAGGTTTGTAGATTCTCCTCTTTCTCTGCAAGTTGTTTTTATAGCTTTATTAATGTTATTTTACCAACTCTGAAGCAAGCAATTTCCTATTCCATCTCAAAACTATACTTTTTCCACAACTAAAACGATGAAGTCATATAACACATACCAGATACCCCCTAAGAAGGTGCAGAAAATGATCACTAGGAATGCAATATTCATTCTCTGAAACCTTTCCAATAAGCTATTGTTGAAATCTTAATGGAAAAAGTTACATGAAACATTTTTCACATGTTTTAATGTGAATCACCTTATACTGTAACAGACCCCCATCTTGACAGCTCACCTCGACCTCTAGAGGAACTTCGACCTCGAGGAGCCCCTACCACCGTTCCTCCTCCTCGTCCCGTCAACCTCAGGACGGCGGCACTGTTTACAGACATGGAGAAATTTCTCTGCCAAGAAGAAAAAGCCAAGGTGAAATTGTATTAAACTAAACAAAAGAAAAAAGAAAAGCAAAAGATCAACAAAATCCACCTCCACTGCACCCTCCCCCAGCCAAACTCACCTCTTCCTAAATTTGGCTTAGTATCAGCTGCGATTTCCTTCTTTTTGTTGCATATTCTTTGCAGCTGACTGGCCAAAATTAACAAGGAAAAGGACTAGTGCTCCCGACTTACCTGAAATCTTCATGCTCTAAAGGTATCGAATGAGCAGTGACTCCTTTATCAGACCATTCTAGCACAGGACTGATTATAACACCACTAGCTCTAACTATGCAGCCATTGAGCTGCTAAAAGCAGACAAGTCACTAACCCCGCTTCAACATTGACAAATTCTGCAGAGCACTAACATGCAATGGGATTGCATTTACTCCTTGTTTTCACAAAAGTGTTTTCTTTAGATGTACATAAATTTCAGAAGCCTTAAATACATTTAGGTGATATGCATTTTTAGTAAGGCAATAACCACCAGTAAAATTCACATTTATTATGACGTAATTGCTAAAGAAAAAGTCTTTTCACCAAAGAAGGGCTAATTATAACCAACTCTGTCCCCATTCTTTGGCACAAGTAGTTGGAAAACCAGGCCAAGGGATCCAAAAGTTTCTTCTGAAACATTAACAGCTAAACCTGAATTCACCCATGCTCTCTAAAGCCAAGTTTTAAATAAGCAGCATGCAAAAGACTCAAGAGCTGTTCTGTCAGGTTTCCCGAGAGCGCCTGAAGGAGCAAGATCAGCCTCCAGTAAAGCTTTTTCTTCATAGCTAACTCCTAAAGCAAGCATTTCAACATTAAGCTCACATCACCCACTTGGAGAAAACCTTTGCAGTCACCAAAAAGTCAGTCTCCTTTGACCCTAAAAGTCTTGAAAGTCTTGTAGTTTACTGCCTGAAAGCCTCTACTATGCATAGGGGGAGGAAAAAAAAAAAAAAAACACCACACAATGTCTGAGGGCATTTAACTCCAAGGTTCAAGGTCTTTATGTGCTACTGCACGTCTGGCTGACTCTCCTGTGGGCCTGTTGACCCAACCTTCCTTTTTGGTGGCGATCGATGGACTCTGAGCAAAGCTGCACATAAAAATGCACCCTCTTCCTCAGTGCCTTTAAGGCTAGAATGATGACATGCAGGACCGAAAATGTCTTCACCTGACTATGAGCTTGAAAAGGCTACTGATTAAAAGCTGACCTATTAGTATCTTGTGTCATGGTACAACATCTTAGGAAGACATGACAAATACTGATAACCCCTCGCCAAAAATCAAATTATATTACAATCAGTTTAAAAAAAAAGTTTCTGCTCTCAACAGAACAAGCCACAGTAATTCAGACAGGTGCTAGGGCTTTCAAAGATCCTAGATGTGCTGCACTCCAAGTGGCAATTTTGTCACAGTAGTAGACTACCTGTCCTTGCTTTCATCTTGCTCACCAGTGGATAATATAACAACAGAAATCAAGTAAGCAAATAAAAAAAACACTGCTACACAGAGTGTACTTAGGAAAGTAATGCACGTTTCTTAGAAAGGTGGAAGGCAGGCAAAGAATCTAACTTCTCCAAAGACCACAAGCTGATATTTCACAACTTGAATACTTCTAGTATAAAAAAGAAAATCTGCAGACATAATTTGCAGAAAAGTTCCACAGATCTTAACATGCTGTGTGCTTGAAAAACAGGTAATGCTCCTCAGAAGATCCTGATGATTCCAAATTTCATGAGCTGGCACTGCCTTGCTATCAACAGAACATCGCATGAATTCTACTTGGTCAGATTTAAGAAAATCAGTGAAAATGGCTAATATTTAAACTTTATGCTAACACAGCATGTTTTTAGAATTTCTTTCCTGGACACTACTAATGTTAATTTGGTGATTTTGGCTAATTTCATGTTTTTAAACTGAAACGTACTCTTTATATTGCTTTTATGCTAACACCAACCTACATTTTCTTTTTATTTAAATACTACATCTCTAAGAACACAAACCTGTTCTTCTTCTGTAAAAGGTACAAGTGCCAGTGGTGGCAGGGGCTCCTCTTGTAAAATAGGCAGAAACTCCTTATCCAGAAGGTCTGAAGGTATCTGTATGAAAGGAGAATAGCATACAAATACTTGATGCACACAGGTATCAAAAAAACACAATCCATGGATGATGCCACAAAACTGGGTCTATACAAACCTAAAAATGTTTTTTTTATCTGGTCAAAACTCTCTCCATCTACACGGAACACCTGTTTTCCTAGTAACAATGGGTGGGAGGAAGATGATGAAAGGCGGGGGGAGGAAGAAGTTATCTATTGCTAATTTACTTCCTCAGCAAAAAAAAAGTCTTAAGAAAAAATACTCAGTGAAATCTCTACACCCAAAACATATGTAAAGTACCAAGCTCATAAAACAGTTCTCATTTATAAACCAATGCAATGAATTCATTCTGTGAATGAATTCAGAGTTTCTGATAAGTAAGAGTACACTGCATTTCTGTCTACTGTACATTACTCAGACTTACTATATTAAAAGAATTACCATATATACATGTAGAGAGCATGTGTGCACAGAGATTTTATTTTTATTTAAAAACTCCTATGATAAATAAGTCACAATTTTAATACATGCATTTGTGTCCCCTGTTTAATAAATCCATAACTACATAGATTCATTTTACTTAGTTTTGTATTTTATTCTTGTTAAGTAAAAACAATTGGAACTCATTTTTAATCATTCCATCTTCTAGCAGACATGACCAATGCACAGGCAAGAAGCTGCAATCTCAGGCAACTGAACTCTAAATTATGCCAATGGAGGGCTTTGTTTCAAGAATATCTAATCCAAAATACTAAAGATAATCCAAATCACTAAAGATAAAGCCTTCTCCTGATTTTAATTCAAGGAAAGCAAACCAATCCTCCCCATTTGGGTATACACTAAGAGAAACCCTCCTGCTTATTACCAGAGGCTTTTTTTTTTTAAATTGGCACTGTAACTTTGCCCAAATTAGAGCCAGCAAAGAATCACCATGACACAGCAGGAGAAAAAAAAAAAAAGAGTATTCCAGATACATCTGGTAGTTGACAACACAGGTTTAGGAACATGACATCAAGAAAGCTGAGTATAAACAGTGTCAAGAGACCTCTCGGGTCTAAACAGCTAGAATTACAGAACTCCACAGAACATGTACCAGGAACAAGACATCCACTTCTCCTGACACAAAACATGCTGTGCTCCAGTCAAAGTCCTTGCACACAGGGAAAGGGACTTTTTTTTATTTCTGGTGAGGTGTGTGTGTTGGGGGGGGGCGGTGCTTCCTAACCATTGGAAAAGCTTCCTCTAGGAGGAGGAGATTAGGCTGTTGGGATAAGGGTAGCTGATGATTACATGCCACACAGAAAAACTACATAAAGCAACAGCTTTTGACACACGCGCTCATTCAAACATGGCATCAAGGTTTATATCACAGCTCCTCAAAGCAAAACAGGAGAATTCTGTATGTTAGAGTGTGGGAAAGCGAGAAACCATGAGAAACTGCGGGAACAGTGAAAGTTAGGAGTGAGAAACTGTGGAAGTTGGGAATAACAGATTAGCAGATAGAGAAACCTAAAAACAGGGACCGGCACCGGTCGGCACCGGTCTCTGGGCAGTTACCTGTTGTCTGGTAGCAGAATTGGACCCACACAGCAACAAAGTCAAGGAACTGGCTGGAGGCAGGGGGAGGGAATGTGTGGACAACACACGCTCACATGCTCAGAGAATATATAAATCTGATCTGATGCTCAATAAAATGGTTCGAAACCTTAAGCCCCTGCTCCTTCAATGCTCCCACATTAGAGTAGCTATGACTCCAAGCCATAACATACTTAAAGGTTTCTGCTGCAGCACTACATGAAAACTTGTCAGCACTCTTAGTAAAGAATATGGATATGTGCATGCACATGCATATCCAAAGCCAGTCTGCAAAACCTGCTGCATTCCCTCTTGTACCTGAGAGGGAGGCTCTAGGAGGCAATGAGACTTCAAGTCTATTATGCATCTGCTGCAACAATAAACTAATCCCTATAAACACAAAGTGTATGACACTTTAACCTGAAATACTATATAGAGGTCTGAAACATGACTTTCGCATCATGGAGAATCTTCCTTTGAAAATACACATGAGCAAAGTTCTTGCTTTATTTTTTTATATTGTTCTTTACTATTACACTGGCTAGCTTGTATTTGTGACTTGAGTCCCAGATGAGCAGATGCTTTGAGGATGGCTCCAGTTGGGCTGAATACCTGATAAATGCCTTTAGTCAGGACAAATGGGGAGCTCTTATTTTTCCTCAGATACCTGTTCATGTAATTTACTGCCTGAATTTCAAGCCAAATCAATCCTACTCTATATTAAATTAAATCCTGTGGAGGTAAGCATATCTACAGTGCGGCAAGGAGACTTTATCCCCCTGTCTTCTGCGGCAATGGGATGGAATACGGCAAAGAGGTTTTCCTCTTCTCAGAAGGGTACAAGAAGTTGCCTCTAAAGTTACTGTTACACTAAAAATGTAAAAGATACAGTAAGAGCGAGACACAAAAAAAAAAAAAAAAAAAAAAACACTTCTGTTCTTTATCAAAAAATACCCAATTTATGCGTATACCTTCCCAAAACAGAAATAATCCAATAATCCCTAAACATAAGACCGCACATGCAGACATCAGGTCTTCTTTACTGCTTACCTTATTATCCTTTAGAAAAAGTGCCAACATTTCTTCTCTCCCATAGCGATAGTCTGCTAGTTTATACTTTGGCAAAGCTGGAGACAGAGGAGGGGATGTCACGCTCCCGCCACTAGACAGAGCTCGCAGCCTAAAATAAAAACAGAAAACAAAAAACAAACAAAGCAGAAAAACAGTGAAAATAGAGCCAAAGATAATGTCTTCACCTATGCTGTCTTTCCTCTGCACCCTGTTTAGAGATTTGACACAAAAAAAGGCAGTGATGAGATGAAAGCATTTACACAGTCCATCCTAAAAACTCTAAAACTTGGTATTTCAGAATTAAAAACAGCTTCTGTCATTTTCCCTACCAGCCATAGGAAAGGAGAAAATTACTGATTTCAAAGATACCAGATAACTGAAACATTCTTCTTTTTCCTACTTGCATAGGAAAGGAAAAGTACGAGCCACTTCGACAGCATTCGAGTTTTTTAGTTTGGTGACACCCAGTGGCAATTTCTTTACATATCACTTCCGAATCAAAAATATCTGGAGAGGCATTTTTCCAGGGATTAGATGAGTCAATGCAATGTTCAACTCCAATCCAGATTAGATGTAAAAGAATCTCACTATTAAGAAGTAATATAATAGCATACAGACTGACCTGAGGGTACTGCAACCTAGAAAGGTCATTGTAAATACTAGAATTTCACTCCATTACTCCTGTACCAAATCCATTAACTCATCAAAATAAAATGTAGACTTCCACATATTATCGAATCTAGATTTAAAAATAAGCAGACTACATAGTCCCTCATTGTGACAGCAATCTTAAATTACACTTAATAGTGCTTTTTTAAGAGTTACCTCCCCTCTTCCTTTTTTTTTTTTTTTTTTTTTAAAACATAACTTCGGCTTCTATCCATCAATGCATCTAATCATATCTGTCTGCTACACTGAAGAGCCCTCTAGCCTAAGATATCTGCCTGGTGGGCATATTTATAGATAGCGGTAAAGTCATTCTTTAACCTTCTTTCAAACCAGCAAAATAGACTGAGCTCTCATCATCTTTCAGACCACAAGTCACACTACTTCTTTTTTGAATATGCTCCAATTTTTAAGATGTACAACAAAATGTGTCAGCAAAAGTGAATACATTATTCCAGTAATACTCTTACCACAGGAGACAAAGCAATTAGATTTCTTACAACCACTCCACACTCCCTTTTACCCTTCTAAAAGTCATATTTCTTTCTAGAAGCCACACAACCAAAAAACCCCTGTTTGTAACCTTGCAGTCACCAAGAAATTGGAGAAAATGCTGAATAATCACCCTTCCACATTTTAGCAAGAGGCAGGGCAATACACAAAGCTGAAAAGCTTTCTAGAAACTGATGCAAGAGGACAGACTGCCACAGAATCCCACCAACAAAACAGTTGTTTTTCCCCTACACTCTTCAGTGTTCACCTACAGTAGGTGATGTAAAGAACAGATATTTTCAACATACTCCATAAAGGATGTTTGAAACACTGGGTAGAGGAAAACCTGCTTAGAGAATTAAGTCCAGTAAGGACAGGGTAAGAACTTCTTTGTTATCACTTATCACATGGGAACACCAAATCAGCTCTCCACTTACTTTTTGTCCACTTCAGAGACAAGCAAAGCAAGTTTCACACATTACACTAACATGAAATCCAACTTATTTCATACACAGTGCCAAAGTGTAAAATGAGGACTAATTTTATTATATGAATATTGCTTTCAGTCACAGGTCAAGGACTGAGAAGTAAGGAACAAAAACATATTATATCCCATTTGGTCTTATTGCCAATTCAGCCCCCAAGCACAGAAACACGTAAGTTCGCAAAAATTTCAGACATTGTTCCAGAATTTCACAAAACAAAACAACTCACCATTCAGGCCCAAAGTTAAGTGTCTGAGTTTCTGCTGCCATTTTTTCTTGTTCTATTCCTCCTTTTTAAAAAGCGTGAACCTGTAACACACAAATGGTTACTATGAAAACAAGTGGATTAACACAGTCCTTCATTATTTTCTTCACAATACAAAAGTACACCTGGTCATGCAAAAAAATGGACGAAGTTGGATCTTTAAAGGAACTCATTTCAGCTCTCTAACACGCACTATGTTATGAGCATAGGCATAATTATCAGGATTTCTTGCCCCAAATCATTCTTAATAGCTGAAACAGGACGCTGGATTAGGGTGTCTGAAGAAACAACTTGGACAAGCAGTCTCTTGTCAAATCAGTGACTACAAGACAAGCAAACAGGAGAATTGGAGGCATAATCCTCCCTCATTAATGCTTAATTAACAGAACAGCAGCTTTCTGACAATTACAAGAGGATAAAAACACACTAGAACACAGCAAGAAATATTTGCCAGTCAAGTGGCAAAGTACTCAAGAAATTTCCACTATTCATTCTTGAAAAATAAGCCTCCTAAAAATTGAGTATATCCAATGCAGTAAAGTCCTCCTCCATCTGCAGGAGATGCCCAGCAGTTTTCTCATCCTTAGCTTTACTAAGCTAAAAGAGCAGTTTCAGGCTTCAGTCACCCTCATTTCTATTACCCCAATTCCTGCAGGCACTACTGAAGGTCAAGGCAAGTTCCTATACATCAAGAACATATGGGCAATGGTAAACAACATCAAGCGGCAGGCAAGGAAGGAGGCCAAGCGAAGGCTGTGAAGCCTTCCCTGTTCCCAACTAAGCACAATTCAGGCTAGACAGCTTTGCAGAAGGGACATTTACATTTGGAAAACATAGCTCCTCTTTCCTAACAGCAACAGCAGAAACTCAATCTGCAGAGAAGGAAATATTTTCAAAATCAAATACATCATAGCAAAACACCAAAAAAGAAAGTATAGCAAGAAAGTATACAGCTGGTCTTTATGAACTTTGCTGCATCAAAACTCTGTACCTTAGTTTACCCAAATAAGGTCATCTATACTTTGCATGGAAGGATGACATGAAAGGGAACAAGCAAAAATGGGAAGATAAAAGAGGGTATTAGTTTCTGAGAAAAAAAAAGAAAGACAAGATCAGACAAAGAAACGCATTTTGGTTCTTATGTATCTATCACCCAAATAGCTATACTAAAAGAAAGCAAGATGATCAACAGCCTGGGTTGGAAGCTATCTCTAGAGCATGCAGATTACAGTTGTTAAGCTCCCAAAAACCTAAACCTAACAACCAAAACTTGGCTCACATTTTTACTAAAAGTCTTCTAAGATCCTTGATGAATATTTGCTAATATTTTTTTCCTGCTCTCAATATAGTTTATTCAGAGACCATAAAAACTTTATTTTCACAATAACCTTGTACAATGAAATGTATTATCTCCATTACATACACCAGAAAGGAATACACAAACATCAAAATATGCATCTAGTTTCTCAGGCCTAATTTGAAAATATTCCGGTTGCTGAAGCTGATATATATTCAGCTGATATATATATCAGAAGCTGATATATATTCAAGGATATAATGCTCAAGGCACATCCGGTCATCAGTTTTGCAAATCGAGCTGCAGAGGTGAAGTAAGGTGTCTAAGGGACAGGAACTCTAGCAGCCATACATGAAAACACTGCGAGGAAGTCATGCCAAGCAGCACACATACTCTGACAAACACAAACCTACAACACAAACCTACAACACATCTCAGATCAGCCTTAAAGGGAAGGGTGTCTTCATGGAGCTAGCTTAATATCAGCAGTACTGGAGAGTTATTATTACTGAACATTAAAGTGGGCACTGCAAGTATCATATACACAGATAGAGCATTAGAATAACAGTTGGAGGAGTAGTTTACTAGCTATGGACCCACTGGCACCCACCTCTCCTTTGCCTCCGCACTATCTTCCTAATAATAGAGGATATCATTTCATCTTTCTCTATCACACTCAGAAGCATCTCCACAAAGGCTTTGTCCATCTTATCGATGAGGCTGCAAAAGAGCTTTCCTTGTTTCATTTCCCCTCAACATGTTGCCTTGGAATCGCTTCACTGGCTCCCTCTGCTACACCCAAGCAAGACACACAGCCTTCCTGGAAGTTATGACTCTAGAGAAAGCTAGATACCTGTGAGTGGCTGAAACTGTAGCTGAAAAAGAACCAGATTTACAGATTTGAGTAGAAGTAACACATCAACTTACCCTGACAAGCAATACCACCCAGAAACAAGCCACGCATCAAAGACAGAAATTACAGGCAAAGCAGGGCTGAAGGGGAGACCTTGAATGAAGCACTCTTGAAGCATGGAGGATGGAACTAGTACAAGAAAGACTCAAGGAAACAAAGACAGCAAGTGCTCAAAGAAAACACATTAGCCATGTCAAAGCAGAAAAGGCAGGGAAAACAAAACTGATGTTGCTTCCCTAGGTTTGCCTTATGGCCACTTCTTTGCAAGAATCCAAAAGCCAAAGCAGAGAAGCATGTGAGAGTGACTACCTGAACACTCAGCATCTAAAGGAGAAGCTGCACTAACTGGAAAGGTGAGTTGGGATGGACGCAGGGACGCTGGCGCTGCAAGAAGAGTCAAGAAGAGTCGGGTGGAGCAAGGAAAAGGTTGAGGAACTGAGAAATTTATGACCTGATCATTCACTCCCTCTCACATCTTTTGGCCCAGCCAAATGTATGAAGCTATCAGATTTTTGTCATCTAATTAATTTTCTTAAGATCTAAACTTCAATATTAATAATTAAATTGTTAATTTTACCTTTTTTAATCTATGCTGCTGCCTTCATATTCATCAAGGATGGCAAATTACATAAAGAATAATCATGAAGTTATACCATGGAAGAAGAGTTCCCCTCTGAACTGCTAGGCTTTTGTAAAGTAAGATTTTCTACAAAATAACAGCTTTTGTCTGAGTGATCTGCACAACTGCCTAAGCTGAACTATGAAACTGAGGGCATGTTTTGATAACACCCAATGCAAACTTTTGCTTGGGTAAGAGCACTACTTGAGCACTTTCCTCTCCTCCTCCTCTTCTCCAAAATTTTCAAATCAGGTCCATTCCTGGATCAAGATGCCAGTGCAACCCTACAAACACATGCAGCTTTCCACAGCAATTTAATAAAAAGTTTCCTAAACTTGAATTGCTTCCTAAACTGGAATCAAGAGCCCATTTTCATGCAGTAGCACTGCAGCCACAGATCCACCACTGGCAAACAGGACTGAAGAAGCAAGAAGTCGCATCAAGCCATTGCCAAGCTGCAGACTCACATGGGGAAATAATATTGCTTCTATTTTCTCAGCAGCTTAGTACACTGAAAGTTAAAAGTCCATCCTCTGAGCACACAAAATGTAATCCAATCAAGTTAAGCCTTTAAGTGGCTTTCACTCAAAATTAACAGGTAATATTGTAGGTACAGAGGTTGCTATCAGCAACACTCCCTTCGTTGATTTGCTTTAGGTACAATGTTTATTTTAGCTAGCTTGGTTTTTAAGATTATGTTTTAAGCTTGGCTATCTAGGACCTGACAACTCTACTAAAACCCACAAAAATGTGCTTCATACACAGGCTGACATTTGATTCTGCCAGCTAAACTTGTTTAAATATTAAAAAAAAAATCTCAGATGAAAAAGATCTAGAAGGTCTCCTAATAACAAAATTCTATTTACTGTGGCACATTTCAAAAACAAGCTCTGCCCTTTTAAAATCTACAAGCACAACAGCAATCTAGACAAAAATTTCTTAGAAAACTACAAGATCCACATTGCCAGGTTTTCTAGACTTTGCACAACGTCAGGATTTAAACAAAATCATCACTTACAGAGCTGTCCTTTATTCACAGGCAAAAGAGTTAGATATAAGAAGTTAACATTGTCTGAAATATGTCCATCACAGAATTACTTCCATGTATAGCATATGATTGCACAGGCCACCAAAACGTTGCACTACTCTTGGTGAAGGGAGGGGAACGCGGCGGGAGGCAAATTCTAACAAATTTGTAGAACCCCAAATTAAGAATAGACAAGGTTTGCATCTATTCTTTCCTACAAGAAGGGGAAAAAAATAGACAAAATTATTTCGATTCTGTCACTGTGATTTATATCTTTAGGACTGCTTTACTTAGATATTTTTCTTAATTTAGGAGACCTAAGCCTTGGAAAACATACTAGTGATCCTTCTTTTACATAACCATTTTCTATCAGAACAGTCTGTTTGATCTGAGATGCTTATGACGAACAGTATCACTTCCTTCCCTTTCCAGGGAGTTCTCTCGTTCCTGTACATTTCAAACAGCCCTTTTAACCTAGAAATTGGCTGAAAAATTTTGAGAAACAAAGAACACAATGGAAAATTACCGCAAGCAGATTTAAGAACAAGGAATTCGATTTTCCTTAAATAAACTTGGAACAGGAATTGAACAACAGCGCTCCACTACACAACAGCAACATTACGTCAAGACGATATTGCTTTATGTTCCATGGGTGACTGCAGGGAATGTTCAACAGTGGTACCAGAGCTGGCTGTTACCAGACCCAGTAACTGTGTTAAAAAGACATTACAATAAATTGACTGAATCATTAATGCTAATTTTCTATAATTCTTTGCATATTAGGGAAGTTCTAGAACTCTAAGAAACCACCTTTTAAAGTTTTGGCACAGTGGTAGACAGGATGACTCAGAGAGCTATAATATAAGTCTATTCAATATTAACTGCTGGCTGAAGAACACGACACCAATTAAAGGACACTGATATAATTAAGGCCAATCAACATGGATTTACAGAAGACACCCAATCAAAATATACTTTTGTGAGATTGGGTATTCTCATTGCTCAAGTGAACAGGTGAAATTTGAACTTCTGCGGGAAATTCCAATTAAAAAGCAGAATGCCAAAAAATGACTTTGTAAAAACCTCTTAACCAATTCTTGAAAAGAACCTACAGTAGCCAATGCCAGAAGGAAAATATTCTGAAAACATACAGAAAATGCAAAGGTAAGAAGGTATCCTCTACTTCTA